TCTTACAAATAACTGTTTTATTTTTAAAACCAAAGGTTTTATTTTTGAAATGCTTTTTAATTTGTATGTTATGATTATTTCATTATGAAAAATGGAAATAGGAATCTCATTTTTATACTGTATAATATATATATATATATATATGAATGTTTGCAATTCACTTGGATAATTCGTTGGGTAGCCACATTACTGTGATAGTACTATATGGTTTATTTGTCCGGTAAGACCTTGCAACACGAACAAGCTATGTGTGTTCATTCATAGGGGTGGTGTCCTATGGAACGAGTTTCATGGCCAGTAACACCTAGTAAATTCTTCTCATGTTATATTTGTATCTATGTGCACGTTAGATCTCATGTTTATTTATAGAGCCGTTATATTTTTACTTCTATCCTTAGCCATTTTAAGATATTTTGTTATGATTGGATCTGCAGACTCAGCGGGTAAATTAGTCTTATTTTTAAATTATGATAAATAAATTGATATCTCACAATATGATATTCTATATCAGTTATTCCAGTTTTACGAACTATTTTTATTTACAATATTATGCAACATATTCATTTTTCATTGATTTTAGTTAGAAAACCATTCACTAGAACACAAGTCTCACTACTTATTTATTTTTAGATTTTAGTAGTAGAAACTTGTAGTCACTTTGCATGCATCCAGTATCAATATCTTGCATATAGAAAGATGGGGCTCCACTCTTGTCAATAGTAGCTAGTTTGAGTTCTTGTTTATGAGTGAAGGTCAGACGGCTGTTTTGTACATAAATGTTGTTTGGAAATGAGAAATTATGTAAAATAATTATATTTTCAGTTATGATATTGACGTAATTTTTCCTTTTATGCTATGTCAAATTATGTTATATTATTTAGACTTTTAGATGTGAGTTGTATATTTGACTCGACAGATACAATAGTTGAACAAGTTTTTGTTTTCTCTAGTGAATCTTGGATATCGAAGGTTATTAAACCTTATTTCACTGACACACCTCACTCGAGTTACGGGGTGGGGCGTGACAGTGTTGAACATGCTCATTTGGAAACTTTTCTTCCACATGTCGACACTATAAGATATTTAAGTAATTCTCTCTGTATCGTTGAAATTTCTATGCTTGGTTTTATTTTGTGGTTATTCAAAGAAGATGAGACCTTTCTTGAGTAATCTAGAAGCATTTATGTAGGTCCTCAACCAGATATGTGGCTTCATTGATGACAGTCTCAGAGATCTTGTTGTCTTGAGCATCTGTGGAGCATCAATGGTAAGTCTGTGCTACAAAAGCTGCTTGCCAGGGCCCTAAATTTTACACGGTTCTCGTTTTCTTTGGCTTCATGTTTCAGGAAGGCTTTGTCGGGGTATTGCTAGATGGAGGCCCTCCTTGCGCCTTTTCAGTTTCAGATATCACCCTGATGGAAGATGATCTTAATATGTAAAAGGTGCTTGATTCTTTTCTCTTCCATTGTACCATTTTTTCATTTTTGATCTTAAAATGATCTGTCCTCCATGCCTTTTCTTCTTTTCTTCCACCTAGTGATTAGGGATGTTCATGGGGTGGGTTTTGGATAGGGGGCCCTCTTCCGGCCAACCCCGAGATGCTACTGGCAAACCCCCACCATGCTTGTCCCGCCCAAAATTCTGATCCCAACCACGAACAAACTCAGGTCCCATTAGGTTGCCCAATTTTAAATTTTGTACTTAATATACATGAGCTCTAAAGCCCAAAAACCAGCTATGACATTTAAAATCTCAAGTCCCAAGGATCTTAAAGAGGAGCCACACCCAAGACTTGGCAAGCTTTTGCAAAATGTCTTTGGATGCAAATAGGTCCCTTATTCTTTGTTTTACAAATGAATTTCTGTGCATTAGTACTTTCAAAGGAAGCTGGTCCCAGGAGGCATCGAAACCTAACTCACTGAACAGAAGCCATTAAGACCAAAAGTAAAAATCTTCAGAAAGTAATGAAAAAAAATTATTAGTTGAAAAACATTTTTGAGGCTTGGAGAAGAAGAAAAAGAATATAAAGGTGAATAGAGGGAAGGGCAAGGGAAAAATATTGAATCAATTGGAGGGTAAAATGCTTGTTTGTCATCAGTACATTTTTTATTTTGCTCTTCTATCTCGGCCCACTTATATGTCCCCCCTTACCTTACCCTTCCAACTGCTTAAGTAATCTAAGGGGTGGTTTCTTTTTTACTTTTTAGTTGCTTCCACAATTTGGCAATTGTTTGAGTAACATTCCTCTCACTTTCATTCACCCTGTAGATCTTGTGCGTGAAGCTTCTGAGTAAAGCCATGAAGGAAACTTGGATATATGCAGCCTTAACCCCCTTTTACTTACGTGGAACCTAGATCAAATGAGATAGACTTCACATTGGGACAAAATCTGCCTTTCAGAATACAGAAATGGTCTCAACATAGTTCTATTCTCCCACTCAGGTTACTGACAGATTGCTTCATGATTCTGGTTTATTTAGGCCATTTGTATTCCTAAACTATCTCATTGCCCATTAAATTGGTAAAATATTTATTTGGGAAACATCAGATATCCTTATACATCATCTGCTGCCCTTTTTCTTTACATCTCATGAATACATGAATTCCTTTTATTACTTTGCATATATACCACAAATCTTGCTGGCGCAATCCACCAAAACCAATTCACCTTTTACTTTTTTTATAAGATAAGGTTTATTAGTTGAACTTTTACTCATAAATTGTCTCCACTTCTCAATTTTTTGCTCCCAATTTACTATGCTTTAGGTTCTCATCAATAAAACAATGCTGCTATGTGTTATAGGATTTATTTGTAGCTGATGAAGAAGGCCTTCCACATTCCCTCGTTGAGAAGGAAGCAAGTTTTGCTCATCAAGTCTAAAACCTATTTTCCCTCCAGGTTTGGTGCTGAATTAATTATAAAAACTGATTTGGGCTAGTTTTGTCATTCTGTTGACAATTTGACATTCTGCAGACTGAGTTAAGTGATGTTTCTCTATGGTACTTCTTGTTCGCAGACTGAATCTGTAATCAAAATGTTGATGGCTGCAAGCGAACAGATTTCAGCTCTTCAGGATACACATCAAGAGGGTTTCAGGTGCTTTGGAGATGCTGACATCTTAATAAGGGTATTATGCCACAAAAAGGACAAGGAAGCCACCAAGTTTTTGAAAAGGCAATATAAGCTTCCAGCGTCTTCAGTTAACCTTTTTTTTTTTAATAAAATCATGAATCAATTTTTTTGTTTCTAAACTAAATAGCAATTTGCTTGACCCCCCAAGCCGTCCACCCACACAGACGCATAGACATTCACACGTCAAAAAGGATTGACTTCAACGACTCTGTGAAGGGCACAAGTTTTAAAATAGTTTATTAATCCAAGTTTATAATTCTTTCTACCCTTTCTCAAGGGGATTGCGAACTGTTGATCTTTTGTTGTGTCCTTCATGGGACTAGTGCCTTTCTTGGTACTGTGTAGTTTGTGTTCAGAAATTTGATTTGTCCCGTGGTTTATGGATCGAAAATAGCATGAATTTGTGCTATAGTTGAATCTCGGATACATGAAAGGGAAAGTAAAGGAGAGGAAAATGACTAACAAATATAGCACATGATGCAAATTATATGCCAATAATAAATTGTTTGGTCACAAGAAATGAACATAATGAATGATCTGATCTCCTTTCCATTTTCTTTTTCCTTCTAAAATCGTTTAGCCAAATCCTATAGTAAAGATGTCTCCAATGCTAGCTACTGCAGCAATTTATGCTTACGAAATTTGATCATTTTCTGCAGAGTATGATGATGCTCCTCAGGAGAGCCAAATTCAAAATCCCCTCTTAAAGCTGATTTTGTTACAAGAAGCATATCGTTCCGCCTGGATGAGAATGGCAATAGAAGTTTCAGATCAATAAAGCACAAGCTCAAGGAAATGCAGCTTGTTTGGGCATTTGTATCTCAGATGCACAATTTTTGGAGTTGGCTGGGAACACTAAAAGTAGTCTAGAACGTGGCTCAATTTGTCATATGTGTATAAAAGTGCAGCAAGGATTATTCTATAGGTTCTCAGCATCAAACTTCAAAGCAAAGCCAGTAGAGCGGTCGTCAAGGGCACCTGACCCCTAGAGGCATGGATCGTCCGTCCAGCTTGGAGGTGAGACCATAGGGTATTTATTTTTATCTTCAATTACCCATATCATTGGCTTTCTTTGTAGTCTTTTTCCCCCCTTTTTTAGATAAAACTGTCATGAGACCAATGACAAGGGAGAGCAATTAACAAGACGGCTCATCTTGAACAACGGAGAAGAGCTCTGTTGGACGTTTCTTTGTAGTTACCCCATAAAATCAATGTACAAACTCGAAATGTTAATGGAAGTTAGTTCTTTCTTATTTCTGGGGTTGTATTCAAAGAGATTCCTTCATCATAATTTATGTAACAAAATCAATCTTTGTTGTCTTAGATCCTTGAATTTTCTTGCACGGTCTCCCGATGATATCTGTTGGAAACTTGTGCTTAACGACATGGGGATGATGGATGTTGGAATGACAATACTACCCCTCTACTTTGTTCCCATATCTAAATAATTGTACTAAATTCTAATTAACATAAATAAAACAAATATAACACAAATTTCTTAAAATAATATATATAAATATTAAGTGAATTTTGCATATTGCGTGTTAAATATGCTATTTTAATTAAAAAATAATAAATTAAAAAATTAGATAAATATATTTTAATTTTTATTATTTATTATGTTCCGCATACTGCACCATTTAAAATTTAGAAATTTATTTCCAACGATAAATAAAACCAAAATTTGACGTGGAAGATAATTTTTTGCAATCAAAAATATTAATACAGGTTTTATTGTCCCCCAAATTTTCCCCAGGCAGTGAGAGAGAGCAATGCAAGAAATTTATTTCTCTCCCAGAAGTACAGAAATTTGACAAGAAAAACTCAAGCAGAACTTCAACATTTCTTCTAATGTCAAAAAGTATCATCAGCCTCTCTTTTCTCGATCTTTCAGTTCTTGAATCAGAACCGTCAAATTCTGATAAGAAGACCCACCTTCTTCCACGGCTTCACGTGCCTTCTTTCCCAATGCTCTCGCCTTCTCTCTTACCATCTTCGCGGCTGGATCTCCAGCATCCATCACCCTCCTCACTGCGTCCTCTATGGTTAGCCGTCCCACCACCTCATTCTCGGGAAAGTCCCACACCCACTGACTCCAGTTTTTCTTCCCCACCCCCACCCCTATTCCCATCACCTACACCCATCAAATAGTACTATGTTTATATTTATTTTAATTATAATTTAAGATAACATACAAAAATGCATCAAGATTTATTTGATTTTTAAGCTATTATTTCTTTAGTATTTGTAATTTAGATATTCAGAGTACATGTTTATATATACGTGCATATATATATATATATATATTTTTGGGGTAACATATGTTTATAAAATATATTTTTTTTTGGGTAACATATATTTATAAAATTTCGGTACATAATAGTGTGGTATTATGTTATTTATTAATTTGTAAATGACAAATATTTAAATTTATAATAAAAGATTTCAAAGATAACTCTAATATATATATATATATATATACATACACTTTTTTATTTTGACTTGCGCACCTGGGTCACCAACTTCTCGTTGAAGAAGTGTTCAGCGTACAAAGGCCACGTGATCATGGGCAGACCCGCGGTGACCCCCTCGATCACCGAGTTCCAACCGCAATGAGTCAAGAACCCACCCACCGAGGGATGGTCCAAAATTAACAACTGTGGGGCCCATCCCTTTATTATCATCCCCTCCCTTTCGTCCTCTCGTCAAACCCCTTTGGCAGCCACTTCTCTTTCTCTCCTTCTTTTTCATCGTCTTTGCCAAACACAACCCACATGAAGTTATGGCCCGATGCTTCTAGCCCACACGCTATCTCCATTAGCTGATTATCCGGGAATATGCACGCACTTCCGAAGCAAATATAGAGGACTGAACTAGGTGTTTTGGAATTTAGAAAAGCGAGGCACTCCTCCTCTCCAATCACCGCCTTGTGTGCCCTCTGCGCCTTCTCTCCACTGTTCTGCTGAATAAGCCCCACAGGGCCAAGATTGAAGACATTGTGGCCCATTAGCTTCTTGTAAAGGTCGGTGTAAGCAGGTCCAAGTTCGTAGAAATTGTTCACCACGGTGCCGTAGCTCCTCAATTCGGCGTCCACCCACTGCTCAACCAATTGGGTGTACCTGTTAGAACAGTGGGTCACGACTACTCGCACGAGAGTGATAATAGCTTTTGGGTTGAGGTCTATGTGGATTTTTTTTTTTTGAAAATATAAAATATTTGGGACTGCTCTTGTAATTTTCTAGAGATTTTTTTTAAGAAACAAAATATACTTTTTACATAAAAACAAATAGTTACATATAGAATTTTTTATATTATTTTATTGTCTACTTTTATACCAAATTATATTGTTAATATTATTCTAGCATTTAGATAGAACTATGATTAAAAAAGAAATCACTAAAAATAATTAGGCATTCACCAGCTAAAAAGCTATATACTAAAAACTTCTTGGCAATACCTGTCTGGTTTGAGAATGAAGCCCGGGAGCTGAGACCGCATCATGGTGATGGGATCGGGCAGGCTCGGGATGACAAACGGCTCGTAGTCGGACTTGGCCATGAGATGTGGCGAGTCGGGACGGCGCACTGCTTCTTCGAGACAGCGGGCGAACGCGGACGTGCCATGGAAGACGAGTCGGGGGATGCGGAGGCGGGCAGCAGCATCGGTGGTCCACGGGTGGTGCACGTCGGAGATGATACAGTCTGGGGGGCACTCATCCAGGAATTGTTCGATCTGTTGTTGGAGGAGATACGTGCCCATGTGAAGCTTGGCGGCGGTGTCCAGGTCTTTGCCATGGACGAGGTTCTCGATGCCTTCGGGGAGGCCGACTTCCTTGGAGGGAAAGGGGATGATGTGGAGGGCTACGTGGCGGCCGGCGGCGACATCCTTGTCGACGGTTTCCTGGAGCATGGTGGCGTTAGCTGGGGTGGTGATGAATGTGACGTGTTCGCCGCGGACAGCGAAGAGTCGAGCCACTTCGAAGAGCGGGACCATGTGCCCGGCGCGAAGAAGGGATAGAAGCAAAATTTTCGAGGGACGTGAATCTGATTCCATTTTCAGTTGATTGTAGAAAAAGACACTGCAACCATTAGTTTGTCGGTGAAGAGTACGGAGACAGCTCTCATATTTATACTGTCACATCGCGAACGATCATGCACAGATACGATTTTTTTTTTTTTTTAAGTGCCACGCGAATTGCGTGTTAGACCCACGTGACTACTTCTTTGTAATAAATATTTTTTTCTTTATAACTTTTTTAACATTATTATTAGGTGAACGCTCCGGTGTCCTCTTCAAAGAGAGGGCACCGGTACAATCTCCCCTTCTGTGGGGAGATTGTAAAATTTGACTGTGGGGCCCCTTCCAATACAGGGGGCCCCGGCAGTGGGGCCCACCCTTGTGAGAGGGGTGGGCACCGTACCCTCCCCAAAGGGGAGGGTACGGTAGTCTTCACCTTATTATTATAAATAATTGCAGAATGGAAAATATTCAAATGAATTTTTTCACGTGAATTTTTTTAATTAACGGATTATCTAAAATAAAAAGAATAAAGTAATTTTTTTAAACAACAAATAAAGAGCGTAAAAAAGCCGATTTTTTTAGCAATTTAAACTCAAAATAACCAATAAGCCAAAAAATAATATTTAAGATTATATTGAACTTTAGTATGCAGCAGATCCCTCCAGCCTGTCTCTCCTCAACTCCGATTTTTCCCGATTTAAGAGAACTAATTTTTTAATTTTTTTTTAACGAATTAACTTTTCTATGTTAACCAGTAATTAAAAGTCAAAACTAAGATTCAAATATAATTAAAAATTTAAAACCCCTTCTCCTTTCCCACGCGAAAAGCACGCCTTCTTTGCGTCCTACTGTCGTTATTGAACCAGGGCCTCCAGGAGCAAGTGCAGGATGCAACAGGCAAAACAGCGAGACGTGCTATTAATGCCGTCCAAGGAGGTCCCCCTTTGTTTTATTGCCCATTTGGCGCTATAGTAAACACAGAGATTGCATTATCATCACTCCATTTTTGGCCACTAAATCCTATGCTATTATATCTCAGAGAGAGAGAGAGAGATTAATGGTTGCAAAGGAGGACAAAGCTGGCATGACCGTTGCCCCCAAAATGCTACATAATTAAGTAGGAGTTAATTTAGTATTCTTTTTGTGTATTTCATTTTAGGATTATTTACATAATGCAAGTTGGAAAAGATTATCAACTTTATAAGATACGTCAAGTCTAATAATATTTATATATTTTTTAAATTTAAACTCCCAATATTCTTGATTGACAAACCGGAATCCACCGTATGTTGCTAAAAGCAAAAGCATTTGCAAATATTCCCACAAATTAATTGCATTTGACCCTCGTCATCTTTGCCCACCAACCATTGCCCTCTTGTGACTATCACTATTGGCCTTATTCAATTACCACCAACCCCCTATTATCACACCCCACCCTAATAACTCGAGCAAAAGCAACAGTATAATAAGGTTTAACAACTTTCAATGTCCAAAATTTACTGAAAAAAGCAAACCCTATTCAACTATTTTACTTGCTGAGTCAATTAGCTAACTCACATAATTTAACTGAAGAACATAACATATACTTAACATGTATAACATAAAAATAAATCATTATATACATATCTAAAAAGCATATTTTGTCACACCTTGCACATCTAGCCACTTAGCAGAGTGCGATAGTTGGACAACGGCAAACACCCACCGGACGAAAATTCGGTAAAATATCAACTACTGAATCCCTTCTATCTAAACTCAATTTGTACCTATAACAATATTAATATATCCTCAACACATCATTCGCATCTAAAAGTTATCACGCATATGCAATATAAATACACTTCTAACACAAGTATATCTACATCATGGTTATTATCATCTCATAAATAAGAAGTTATGTACTATAATTTATTATACAAAGATCACTATACAAAAGTCTTAATATAAATGACATAGTTATACTATTGCAAAATAATTCTAACTATTATAGAATATACTCTTAGTTATATATGACTACCTCAACTAGTGAGATATGAATGCACGTGCAATACCAAGAAGGTGAGGGTATCAACTATATATATCTAAAGCTGTAAAAATAAAATAATGAGAATAATATCCCAGTAAATGACATATAAACTAAACTTAAAAAAAAATAAAAGATTCCATATTTATAACATACAAATCTATCATTTGTAAATATTTATAACAAAGAAAAGTATAAATAAGGAACATTATAGAAAATGCTTTCTGTGAAGCGCGTCAGACAGAGCGACGACGAAGACGTGGATAACCAAGGCCACGACAAGGCACTTCGACGGCACGCGTCAGATGTGAAATCGGAAGAGTTGGATGGAGGGTCTGATCATCACTAAGACTATCCTGAATGGAGTAAACTAAGTTGATGGTGAAACTTGGAATCGGTATGGTTGGGATTTCGATGTCAGAACCAGGAGCACGCTTTACGGGGTCCAGCAAAATACATTAGCGAGCATAGAACACGTGTCCTGAAACGAGTTGGTTCCATATTTGTTTCTTCCGGTTGACCTTCTAAAGCGGAGTGGCGCTTGCAGCTGCTCCGGCTTGAATCCGCCGTATCCGAAACTGGTGCGAACTGTGGGCTGAAAAAGCTGAGCCGACTGAAAAAAGGAGAAAGCTGTGATGATCTGAATTACTGAACGTGGCTCTGTGATGATGTGTAGAAACTGTCGGTAGGTAAATTTACTAATTTAGTTTCCTTTGTCTAAAACATCTAGTATTTTATAACAATTCACAGGCATGTTTGTTATGACTCCCTTTGGATTGCAATTGGAGGAGGCCAATTTCTGTTTGGCAATACTCCTCAATCGAATATAGATGTTGAAATTCCCGCTTTTGAATTTTCTTTCTCAATTCAGGGTTATTAGCTAAAAAATTACAATCCTTTCTGTGAGGAGAAGCTCGTATATGTCTCCATGCTTGGAATAGCATAATGGAAGCAAGCAAACTTTTCCATTTTTCTTTTTCTTTTGTACTTTTTTCATTGATAAGGTACAAAATAGATGGTGATCTTTCTTGCAACAAATATAAATGACATTATCTAAAGTACTATAAGGAAAAAAAAAAATTTTTTACATAGAAAGGGACTATATTCTAAATGACATCCAACTTCTAACTTCTACACAAATGGTTAGCATTTTAACTCATAACAAAAGTAGGAAAAGGAAATATAAAATCAAATTAGTCCTCAGATGATGACTATATACTAATATACTTTAACAAAATTTCCTCTTTTACGTTGTTAGATTATGTAAAATCAAACTAGGAAAGAAAGAATAATCTCTTTTACTGAGAGAAAAAAATTGTTATGAATTTCCCTTTCTATTTGATAATTGAAAGGACATGAAGGTGAATGGTAGGACATATTCATCATTTAATGCTCTATTTTCTGTATTTAATCAGATGATTTTAGTATTTAAAAGTTACAAATAAAAATAAAAACAATATATTCTGTTGCTAAGTTTTAGAAAAAAATTTAGAATGTCATTGTAAAATTAAAGTTTTCTCAATTTATTTTCATCTCTTAAATTCACTCTTTAAATTAAAATCCAACTAAATGAGTGATAATTTTTTTTTCTTTTCTCTAAATCGTTTTACTTTAAACAGTCTGTTAAAACATAAAATTTCAATGTTCTTTCTTCTCCCTTTCTTGCACGTATTAAAATTTTTCTTACTTGGGCCAAGCAGAAAAAACAAGAAAAAGGAAATTCTTTCAAGAATTTGACAGAAGTTAGGGGATATGTGGATTTAGTTCGAGCGGGGTTTAATACCTCAAGCCCCAAATGCATAAGCATATTCTTCTCCAGTTCCTCTCTACCATTTTCCGTGGCTAGGAAGTGCTGGTTTTGGTGCCAATGAACATATGTCTTCAAAATTTGACTCTCTTTCATTTCGGATATATAATTATCTCCGGTACTCTTCTCTTCCTTGCTTTTTGTTTGGGTGGTCCGAAGTGGGCAAAAATTCTCTGATTTTACCCGATCTCTTTTGCGCAGGAGATAATGCGGAAATTGCATGAACTTATAAGAGACAAGAATGGTATGCCTGATTCCATTGAATTAATTACCCCAACGAATCTATTCGCAAACTGAGATTAGTACGTAAATATTTACTAGAGATGATATCATTCTTTTTAGTATCTTAAAACAGTAGTAGATGATGATAGTCATTTTAGGAGTGGAAAATAACCTAACCATTCTAACATTTTGTTCCATGTTTTGAAGGCATTGAAAACCCAGTAATTTAAGTTGCCCAGTTCTACAACATCTAGTTGTCAAACTAGACACAAACTTCAAACAACTCGCTGAAATTTAGTCTTTCTTTCTCTTTAGCCCGGATTGGCCAAGGCCCCTTTCGAAGCCATTCTCAAACATATATGTTTGATTGGAAGGACAGAATCTGGGGGATACTAGTAGTTGAATTAGAAGATATTGAATATCGTGGATTACATATAATAGGATTAAGAAAGATCGAACATGACAGGATAATTTGTGCAGTGCAATGTGTTTGGTCGGATATAAGTTGTAAAGAATTAGAAGTGAAAAATGCAGAACTCGCGATTTTTAGATTAAAAAATGAAAAGTTGGAAGACAATCCCCCCAAAGACAATTTGTCCCGTGGAGGGGGCCAGTCAGGGACAGAGTTCTCCTCCATCCAGTCCCCTCCCTTTTATTCCTCTCTAGCCATTTGTAATGACCTAATTTAATAATTTGAAATTAGGGAGCTTAATTGTTAAGATTTGAAGTTTTAGGGGCCAAATTATAATTAGAGAGGATTAATTGAGAGAATTAAGAGTTCTAGGGGGTTGATTTGTGAAATCGAAAAAGTTAGGGGCCCAAAATTAAAAGTAGGGATGCAATTGGAAGATTTATAAGAACGAGGGCCAAATTGGAAACCAGGAAGGGAAAAATTGAAAGGAATAAAAATTTTGGGGTCTGGATGGTGACAAGGTGGATCAATTGCGGATCCTCTGTGCGCCGACCGTTTCACATCAAATCTTCCATCATTCGGCCATTTTTTGTCGAATTTTTGCCTTAGGGGTGTGCGAGGCTCTTGAATGAGCAAAACTCCTCTGT